CCCGGGCAGATCTATCGGGAATAACCTTCGCCTTATGAGAGATGTGGTAGTCTATGCAAACGCACAGAACGTGGACTGTGCGGTAGTCTCCCTTGATCAGGCCAAGGCCTTTGACAGGGTGAACGTGGGGTTCCTGCAGAAAACTCTCACAAAGATGGGCTTTGGCCCGATCTTTCGTAGGTGGATTTCCATCTTGTACAGTAACATTTCCAGTTCAGTGCTGGTGAATGGAGCATTGTCAGCCCCCTTTCCCCTCTCAAGAGGTGTGCGCCAGGGTTGTCCCCTCTCCCCCCTCCTGTGCGCCATCTCCCTGGAACCTTTTGCGGCCACTGTTCGTAAAGACCCAGAAATTCATGGTCTCTGCTTGCCCGGAGGCCATGAAGTCAAACTATCAATGTACGCCGACGACAACTCGGCGGTTCTAACCACGGACGGTTCTATAGTTAAACTGTTCAGTGTCGTAGAGCTATACAACAAAGGCTCCGGCTCCCTGTTAAACATGGGCAAGTGTGAGGGCCTCTGGCTGGGCAGATGGAAAAACAGACCTGACAGTCCAGTCAACATCAAATGGACTTCAGTGTCTGTCCGTCTGCTCGGAGGAATTTTCGGCAATATTAACATGCCCCTGGTAAATTGGAGAGAGCGTCAGACTAAGTTCCAATCCACCCTACAGCTCTGGAGTGCACGCGCTTTGTCATTCTCTGGCAAGGTCACGGTGGCTAACTCTCTGGCGACAGCAAAGCTGTGGTACATTGCTTCGGTCTTCCTGCCCCCAGAGTCGGTGTCAAAAGAACTCACAGCCGCCCTGTGCAAGTTTGTGTGGAACAACCGTGCTGAACTTGTCTCACGCCAGACACTATTCCTACCCCCAGAAAAGGGAGGATGGGGGCTGGTGGACGTGACCACGAAGGCACAATGTCTGTATGCCAGAACTTTCTCTGACATTCTAACCAATTCAGACCTCCCTTGGGTACAACTGGCCAGATATTGGCTAGGCTTCTTCGTGCGCCGGTTTGACCCGTCAACTTGGTCAAACTGTGCGCCGCACTCCCCAGATCCCCCTCCACACTACTCTTCCCTGAGGAGGCTCGTGACCAACATGGTTGACCCTTCTTCACCCAGTCACTGGGACACGGGCTGTACTGTTCGCTCTTTGTACAGTAGTCAGCTTAGGAATCGAGCTCACTCCCCAAGTGTCTGTTCTCGTCACCCCAACATCTGCTGGCCTGACGTCTTCATGGCTGTTCACCACCCTTTCCTAGAAAATCGTCTGAAAGACATTTCATGGAAAGTGGCACACGGGGCGTTGAAGACTAATGGCCTGGTTGGTGGCACGTGGCGGTACAGAGGTTCTTCTAACTGTCCCAGACAACACTGCCGGCAAGTAGAGTCTGTAGACCATGCGATGTTTTACTGCAGTACAGTACTGCAGACATGGACTTGGGTGGAGGGTTTTGCGAGAAGATGGGTTCAGCCAGACTTCCGGCTGAACAGGCCGACGGCGCTTCTCAACATTTTCCCACCTGACCTGGGAAGATGCAGGAAAAATGTGCTGATCTACATCTTCGCCGCAGTGCAAGGCAGTGTTTGAGCAGTCGCATTCCTCACACACGGAATTGATTACATCCATTAAGGAGTCATTGAGGTCAAAGTTGCGTACGGAGTTTGTCCGCCTCGGGGCTTCAAACTTTGAGGCCTCGTGGTGCGACTCCGTACGCTGGGCAAAGACCGAGGGTGACAGGCTGCGTCTGCGTTTTTAGTATTCTGTCCTGTAGAAAATTGGAAAACCAAAACTACGCCTGCGGTTGTAACCCCCCGTTCCCTACTACTCGTATTAGTCTTTTGTTGTGGAATGTCTGTCTTTTATGTCATTATTTTATTTTGATGTGCCAAGTTGGCAGGAGTGGGTTGGTGGGAGCACTTGGACAGTAACCTGTCGTGGGTAGCTTGGCACATCCTTTTTCTATTCCCCTTCCTTTGTCTATGTCTCTGTCACGTCGAAAAGTTAAAAAAAAAAGAAAAAAAAACCTCCTGTCTCTCTTGTCTAGTTTTCACTCCTTTTTGATTTTGTTATACCCCAATTAAAAACGGGTCTCAGTGATCTCGCCGGGTAGAGCGGTATTTTTATCGTCTTGTACGAGTTATCGTTTTGTGCGCCCTTCATTGGGTTACTATTTTTTGTTTGGTTCGGTCTACCATAAAAAAGGCCCATAGAAAATAAAAGTGTCCATAGAAAATAGAAGTACCCATAGAAAATGGAAGTAACCCATAGAAAATAAAAGTGCCCATGGAAAATGAAAGTACCCATAGAAAATAAAAGTACCCATAGAAAATAAAAGTACCCATAGAAAATAAAAGTACCCATAGAAAATAAAAGTAACCCATAGAAAATAAAAGTGACCCATAGAAAATAAAAGTACCCAGAGAAAATAAAAGTGCCCATAGAAAATAAAAGTAACGCATAGAAAATAAAAGTAACCCATAGAAAATAAAAGTAACCATAGAAAATAAAAGTAACCCATAGAAAATACTAGAAAGGCCATATTTGCTTTGGAGCAAATACAGCGATGGGTTCACCACATTTTACGACATGGCAGGGAAAGAATGAGAAACACAAGGGAAAACAATGATTTACATTGATATAACTATAATATGAAGTAACATACAACTAAAACAACAGTTGGATAGCTATTCCCTACTTTATTGGTTAGGATTTTTAATTGCATAATGCAAACTGTTGATTTTCAAAATAAATAAAAAAACGTTCATGCCCCGCATTCCAATGCTGGAGCAGAAAAGCTTGAAATACCTACCAAAACACTTGAATAAAGACATACTGTCAGTATGGAAATGCTCTGTGCAGGTGTTAATCAAGTTAAATCCCAACAGCCAATCAGCAAGAAATGCTCTGTGCAGGTGGAAATGCTCTGTGCAGGTGTTAATCAAGTTAAATCCCAACAGCCAATCAGCAAG